TTTTTTTTTTTTTTTTTTTTTTTTTTTAATTTTGGAGGGGTTTTTTTCGATTTTGGGGTTTTGTTCTCGGGTTTGGGTTTTTTTGGGGGGAGTTGGATTTTTTTTCGATTTTGGGTTTTTTTTCCTCGGGTTTGGGTTTTTTTTGGGGAGGGGGTTGGATTTTTTTTGGGATTTTGTTGGGGGCTTTTTTTGAGGAATTTGGGTTTTTTTTGAGGATTTTGGGGGCGGGTTTTTTTTTGGGGGGATTTAGGGGTTTTTGGGTATTTTTTTGGGGGGGATTTTGGGATTTTGTTGGGGGGATTTTTTTTTTGAGGATTTTGGTTTTTTGGGGGGAATTTTGGTGTTTTTTTGGGGGGGGAATTTTTTGCCGCTGCCTCCTCGTTTTCCCTTTTCCCCAAAATCTGGGAAGGGGCTTCGCAGGTTCCACATCAAGATTTCCCGGGATTTTGCAGCTCAGCACCTCCTCATCCCACCGGGAAATCCTCCCAGAATTCCCATTCCCGGGGCAGAGCCTTTTCCAGGCCACGGCAGTTCCAGGGGGAGGTTTTCCAACAATTTTCCCTTTAAATCCATCCCCTCCTGGAAAACTGGGAGACAGGGAAAACCCCGTTGCCTCCAGAGCCAGGGATGCTCCGCTGGGATTTCGGGAGAGTTTGGAGTTTGGGATGTTCCCCCCGCCCAGGATTAAATCCTGGGAAATTCAGGCCTGAACAGGTGGGAAAAGGCTCAGTATTCCCGTTTTTCCAAGCGTTGAAACTTCCCTGGAATTCCTGGGGGGGTTAATGACACGTTGGGCCCTCCCTGGAATTGTCGAGTCCGGGTTGGAGCCACATGGACTTGGATAATGGAGGGAGAAACCAGGAAAAACATGGAAAACCCAAGGAAAACCTGGGAGCAGAGCCGGGAAAGGGAAGATCCAGCTGAGGAGCCTCATTAAAGGTGCCAAATTTCCATGAAAAAGGGGGGTTATTCCCAATTTTCGGGTGAGGGAAGAGGAGTTTGAGGAGGGCTCGGAAAAGGCCGGGAAGACAAATCCGGTGGTTTGGTGTTGGTTGGGGAGGAACCATCCCGGGAGCGGCCTCATAAAACACGTGTCAGCTCCAATTACAGGGAATTAAAATTCTCCGGCTTTTCCCGGCCCAGGAATTCCTAAGGAGGAGGTTTTAATATCCCAGAATCCGGTTAAGGAGCCGTAACCACGTTGGGTTTCCATGGGAACGGAAAAGTGGGAAAGGGAGGGGGGAAAAGGGGAAGGAGGGGGGAGGGTGGGGAGAGGGATCCCCAAAAATCAGGGAAGAGGGAAAGGGAAAGGGAAAGGGAAAGGGAAAGGGAAAGGGAAAGGGA